GGTGATGCAGATTTTACTTTGCGTTCGGCTGCAGGAGGCGGAGGGGATGAGATTGAAAACCTGCGTACCTTTTGCAAGAGGGAAACCAGGTTGCCAACTTGTTTGAAGTTGGAGCAGATAGAAAGAGAGAAGAAATAGAATGAAGAAAGCTGGGAGGAAGCAAGCAAGGAAGGAGAGCGGGGTGGGGAAAGATAGAAAATTAACTTCTCTTTGTTATTACCTGGAAACTTTTCCCTTTCATTATTCTCAATGTCTGTTGGAAAACCTGGACCTCTAAACTTATGTACGTGCATATAAAATAGCATTTGTGTACATTTCCAAGCATCGAATCGAAAGCAGTCCTACCCTCCACTACCGCCACCCCCGCCCGCTTAATGGGTGCATTATCATGTAACGGCTGCTGTGATTAGAATAATAAATTAAGAGAAAATGAGCAATATGCTCCAGTGCAGCTTTTCGAGGAATTATATTTTTCACAAATCACAAATGGAGGTTTGAAGGAATTTTGATTGGCTAATAAAAAAAAGTGCAGAATAGGATGATATTTCTTACTCCAGGCGGGTGGATGAATCTCATTTCAGTAATACTGAAGTAATGATCATTTCCGAATCAGCCACTTTGTGAAAAGCGTTATCCTCTTTCAAATTACTTTGTCCCATAAAAATGGCCTTTTCCCTCTCCCCCCACCCCTTCAAATGATGGAGTGATTACCAAAAAATAATAAAAAAGCATGTCATCTAAAGATGCGACTTGGTTGTATTGACTATAAGCCATAAACATTTTCCCCAAATGTAACAGCTTTTCCTTGCAATTTCAATAATTTAACTCCTAACCCTATGATAGATAAGTCTCGTTTGGGAGATTCCTTCAAATCAAACCACTTAGGAATGTGGACTTAAATATGATAGATAGAATGCAGATGCAGCTCTTCTTTTTCTGTTTGCCCCCCTCCTGACTCTCAAATCCTTAATTTTGAAATTAACTAAGTTCTCCTCTTCTTGCAGCTTCTTAAAATCACTGTAGAATTGCCTATCCAGTAACTTCCTTAAGCACTTGGGAGTAAGGTGGGAGGAGAGAAAGAAAATGATCGGTAAAGAGAACAGTTTTGAGTTAGTTAATTGGATGATAAGATGATCTCAAGCCTGGTTTTGAAAGATGTGGGTCAACTTTCAGTTCAACCCATGGAGGATGATGGTGTATGAGAGAGATGAGCTCTAAAAGCACACATGTAGATGCCATATACGTCCGGAAACACACACACACACACACACGTACATGGGTGTATGTGTGCATATCTCTAGATAGGCCCAGCCTTGCCTTAGTTATGGTGAGTAATAAAACGGCTTACCTTTCTACTCTGCGGCCTCATAAAGTCTCTACAATGGCAAGCTTTATTGTCCATCCCATGCAAAGAGCAGGCGAATTGATGGTATCTAGGATGTCCACCCAAGGATATGCCATTTAATAATAGGGGTGTGTGCCTTTATGGACAAGAACGATGACTTTGTGTTGTGGATTCAAATTCTATCACAGCGGTGCAAAAGTCTGCCTGCGTTATGCACTCATTATGGTACTGCGCGCAATCATAAAAAAGCCGTATTTTCTCCCAGTCCAACAGAACTAGAATTTTAGAAGCTGCAAAGTCACCCTCCCTTCATGGCATGCCTTGTGCTATAAAGACTGTGCCCTTTGTGTTTGGGAAAGCATGTTCCTTTACAGGCATTGTAGGCTCCTGTTATTTTTCAGGTTCTGGAGTTCCTTGTGGCACCGAAGCGGCCACATTCAGAAAATCCATTCAGTATTCGAGAGTAGCCACCATCTCGCCAAGATCTCTAAACACAAACACAGGAACTCAGCTGGTATAATCAAGAACAGTGAAGAACAGATGTATGGATGTGACAGAAACGTGCATCACACCACCTTTCCCCTTGTTCAGTTGTCAAGCACTTTGCACTACTATACGCAGGCGCATGGGCATGAGCGCACTCTCTCTCTCACACACACACACACATTTAAGTCATGAATTTGTTTAAGGACTTAATGACTGGGAATTTTTTTGGAGGGGGAGTTAAGAATGTTCCCAACTATCCAGTATCTTTTCCAGATTCAGTCCACTAAGCCAGGTTGTATCTTAGGAATCTTGCAATGCCTTATCTGGATGTATCCATGTAAACAATCTGTCCACTTTCATACCAAATACCAATGTAGGACGTAGTCCATTTCACAGCAAACCAGATATAGGAATCTCTCTCTCTCTCTCTCTCTCTCTCTCTCTCTCTCTCTCTCTCTCTCTCTCTCTCTCTCTCGCACATTCCCTCCACATACACACATCTGTATCAAACCAATAAATAGATATGTGGAAAGAAGAAAAGAGAGAGCACACAAACATGTGCCTAAATATATTGGCCAACTGCATTTTGTCAAGTAAAGAGTGTGCAAGGCGGGTGTGTGTGTGTGTGTACGCTCATGTGTATACGCTCATGCGGGAGAAATATTATTTAGAATGCGCCTTCACTTTTCTGATAGTGTTCTTGTACAGTCCGGGGGTGTTTTTATAAAGAAACCCATGCCATGGCAAAGCTCATGTAAATGTCTCTGTCATGCCTCTTTTCCGTCCTTGGTAGGGTTGATCTGGGCTGGGACCTAAGAAACACCGATCCCTTCAGTTCATTTCCCTCTCTGTACATGAATACTCACCTCTCCCATTACAGTGAAATACCAGACTATGACACGATCAGTGGGGTGCCCCCCCTCCACCCCACATACAAAAATGGCTCTGAAAAGAAAATATTTCCTGTGATTATAGTTTAAACATGCAAGAAGAAGAGAAGGGACATATATTTCTAGACTTTATAGAAAATAATGTTTAAGAGCAATAGAGGTCATAATCTGGAAGGTAGCAATATGGCAGAAAGCTGAATTTGGACTTGGGGAAGGGGAATAATCTGAAGGAAGGGTGACTTCATGAACCCATGTACACTTACTGGATTGTTTGTGTTATGTGAAACTCAGCCCCAGACATACCTGCTGGGAAGTCTGTTCCTCCCTTTTCAATAGGACTTGTTCCTACCTGGTGTCCTTATGACTGCAGCCCAGGAGACCACCTCACATGAATTCATAACTCCAGCAGTGAACTCTTGGTCATAATATGAGGGGTGTAATCTTCCCCCAGCAGCTTTTGCTTACTCAGTGGCTGCCTGAATGTTGAGCCACATGTGATCCCAAATCTCACGGCTCCTCTTGTTTCCAACTCCATGCAGCAGAAATCTTAAACCCAAGTACCAACATAGTGCCTAGTGTCTTGGGAAGCGAAAACCTGAGTCTTGGTTTTGAACTGTCAGGTCACTTGAATGTATAGATGGAGCCCCAGGACTTCCTGAGGTAGGAGGAATGCTTGTATGGGTCCAAAGAACAGCCAAGTTATTTGAGAAACCTCGGTACTTTTTTCCCCTTATTTTTATTGTTTATTTATGTAATGTCTCACGTATACAATACAAATCCACGGGTTCCAGAATTGGGTTTCTGGCAGAAATTGCTACATTCAGAGTTTTGAACACGCAGAGGACTATGGGCTTACATAAAACAAATGACATATTTGTGTGTGTGTAATTCGAGCATGTTGCATTAACAGATAAGTCAAGACAAATAGATAACTATACATTCAGTGCAATTTAAGTCCTAAACTACATTATAAGCACAATAAAATAATACAATACTGTGCGTTCTTATCTAGGCAGTTTCAGTTGTTGGGAATTATTTTTTTCCAAGAAAAATAAGCAGCAACATACGACAACAAAACCGCATTACAAATACTTTCAAAGCATGACTCCTTCTATAGGTAGTGATAAGATACATTACAATGTTTTTTGTATTTTTATTTTTTCATCATCATCATCATCATCATCATCATCATCCTATTCTGCTACTTAGTAGCTTGCATTAGGGCAATACACCACTTCTTTTTAAAATGATCTCAACTAAGTTGGTTGTGGCTTGCTTGCTTGCTTGCTTGCTTGCTTGCTTGCAGAATGTGTAAGCCCCCACCTTGTTGCTAATAGATGGTTATTGCAGATTTCCCATTAGGTAGTATGTTAAGAATTTCGAGTGCTCACACAAGTAATCTAGTAAACAACGCCTGTGGAAAACATTGGATAGCTCCATGTCCTTCACAGCTGTCCTAAACCTGTTTACTCAGCCTGAAGCCCCACTGATTTTTAGGGACCTCTTCCCCAGTTAGGGTGACAGTCTTTGACTGCCAGATCACAGGGCGTGAGTAGGTAGATGCTAAGTACGCATATATTCATGGAAAACTAGGAAGCATGTGGATTTGTCGTCAGACATCTGTCAAGTCTCCATCTTCCCACCCCACAAGTTCCTTCGATAGGTGCCTACTGACAGCTAAACGTGAAAAGCATAAATGGACCGTCGCAGGGAAGGATGCGTAGGTAGACAGGCTCGCTCGCTCGCTCGCTGTGGGGCTGGACCCTTTTTCTTTTAAGACCAAGCAGGAAACATTTTCGAGCACTCCCGCCCTCCTTCGCGCCCCCTTTACATTATTAAAATTGGGGAGGGGGAAGGTGGAGAAAAAGCAGGAGTCCTTCCTATTCCAGATCAATCCATAAGACGCCAATATTTGGTTCTGAAGTGGAATAAGGCAAGGCGTGCAGGGGGTGGGCGTGCTGTCGCTGCTGCCGGTCCGTGGATATGGAAAGAGATCATGCAGGGGACGGAGGGGGCTGTCGTCAATCCAGTTCTCTATTTATTTCATTGGAAGGAAGAGCACAAACAAAAAATTAACATAACATGTTTAAAAACGCTGATACAAGGGGGGGGCAGGGGAAGTTCTATGACAATAAAAGAGGGGGCTACAACTGTTTGACAGGTAGTTACTGTTGGTGTGTGAGTCTCTCCATTCTATACTCTATAAAAGCGAATGACCGTCGTAAACATCTCGATTTATCATCTGCCATAAAACGAGGACTTCAAGGAGCTGAGAGGGCTCAGTCCTTGCTTTCTTCTTTCTCCTCCTCTTCTTTTTCCTCTTCCTCGTTAGTTTCCTCCTCCGTTTTCTCCTCATCCCTGGCTCCGGGGAGTTTATCCTTGTTGTTTTCCTTCTTCCATTTCATCCTCCTGTTCTGGAACCAGATCTTGACCTGCCTCTCTGTCAGTCCTAGGGCGTGAGAGACCTCAATGCGCCGCTTCCGTGTCAAATAGGGGTTGAAGAGGAACTCCTTCTCTAGCTCCAAGGTCTGATACCGGCTGTAAGTCTGCCTGCCACTGCGCCTTCCGGGAGCTGGGGAACAGCAACAACCAACAACAACAACAATGATGATAATAATAATGATGATAATAATAATAATAATAATAGCGATAATAGCAATAATGATGATGGTGATGATGGCAGCTCGTTAAGGGCTCTTCTTCTCCTTGCTGGGATCCCCTCTCCTAAAAGCCAACCTGGCTCCTGTCCGCCTGCTTTGCCTCCCCTCTCCTGCAGCCCCCGTAGCATTCCAGCGCTCGGAGGAATGAAGCCCTCGATTCCCATAAAATAGCAGCAGGACTCGCGGCCACTTCCCCCACCCCCACCCTCCCCTAGAAGTGCAATATTGACTTTTGGCTTCCGAGGGCAAATATCGCTCTTGAAAAGATCGCCTCCTCGTCCCCCAGACTTTGTTGGTGAACGCCAGGGCAGGCATTCCACGAGCCAGGTCGCCCCATTCATTTCTGGGGACTTTCCCCCCTTTTCTTTCTTAACTGAGCTTCTGCTATTTGAGGTTGTGTCTTATGCGTCCCTTTGCATGACTGTAGCAACCCACACACACACACACACACACAGATTGTATTTAAAGCAAATCCCTTAATTATAATTGTAGACTACAGTATATACAGACATACATGCATGTGTATATATTTGCTAGGTATGTCATCTCAAACTCCACAAATATCCTATTTTCAGAATTGTCCTACTAGACCTTCACTTAGGAATCCCTTCAGTCCTAGCTATCACTTTTCATTTTTTCTTCTGCTCTGTATGCCGGATTTGAAGACTTTCTGGGCCATCTCCGAGCTACCCTTCTAGGACCACTGGCTTCTAAAGAAGGGAGCACATACAGATCAACCTGCCCTTTAATTTCCCTCTTAAGAACAACCTGGCTTCATGTGTTTTGAATTAATTCGTGTGCTTTCAATTAAAAAGGCTTTTAAGTTAGATTATAGGAAGGTGGAACTTGCCCGGGGAAAAGTATTCCAGCAGTCTGTGGGGCGTTTTTGTGTGGGTCATTTCAATAAAGTTTAGCTAAATCTAGCAATCTGTAGAGTTGCTATTGGCATTGCTAGGAATGTTGTTGTTGTGCCAGGCATTTTAAGGATCTCACCTCTTTTCCTTAATACTAATAATAAATCTCTGAACAAAGTTGGCTTTTAAAAGTTTAAACTTTTCATTTTAATATCCCAGCACTCTTAAGCAATGTCCCCCCCTCCCCCGAAGACCTCAAGCGGTTAAGAAAAGCCCTATGACATTTTAGGAAAAGCAGCGTATTATCAACATGCTAATAACCTCGTGGGACCTATATCTTATTGCTCTCCTTGAGGCAAGCCATTAAAAAAAAGTTTTACTTTATTGTGATTTAAACCCAGAAATCACCTTGCTGGCTTTTGAAGCCAACTGTAGCCTTGTTTACTTTGTAAAAAGAAAGACACCCCCCTCACCACACACACACACACACACACACACACACACACACACACACACACACACAACCCGCCCAAACAGGAAGAAGAAATGGTATCTTAAGCAACCCTTCTATTTCTCTATCTGCCTTTCTCTGTCTCTTCAAAATACAGACACCCCCCCCCCTTCCCAACCCCTTTCTTTGCTTAAATAGAAAAGAACACATTTAAGGAGGAAGGAGGGAAAAAAATGATCCTAACCGTGAGGTCTCATCCATGGGAACATGAGACTGGGAGAAGAATTTTGATTTAAATGCCCTTGTCCCTCGCTAGAGTTACTGTTGGAAGAGGATTTACAGTCAGGATATTGTACCACGGCCGCCTCTTGCTGGGCACCATAAAGCGACTGCCTTGGTAGGGCTTCGTATCCATAGAATTTAGACGCGTCTCCGTGGCACGCCAGGGCGCAAGGATTTTGCTGGTATCCAGAGTTGGAGATGCTCGAGGTTCCGTGGTGGAAGAACTCTTGGACGTGGTGTGAAGGGTGTTGGAAGCTGGGAGCCGTGGTGCCCGGACCGTACACGAGAGCATGGCTTCTGCTTACACTTTGTGGAAATCTGCAATCGTAGTAAGTTGGTTCCAGGGACTCGCCGCCTTTGTACTTGGAGAAAAGAGGATTGACAAAGTAGGAACTCATGGCTCTCGCATGAAAGAAAGGAAAAAAGAAACCAACCTTAATCCAAAAAAAAAAAAAAAGTCTTTAATTCTATAAGAGATCAGTCAGTGGTAAAGAGTCTCTCTCTCCCCTCTCCCTGGACTCCGCAAAGTCCTGGTTAGTGGCTGGTTGTGGGCTTTTTTTTTTTTTTTTTAATGCGCTCTCTCAAAGACGTTTCATAGTGCCTGACTGAATGGGTATGGCTGCTTATGCCTAATGCTCTTGACTTCTCTTATATCCGTCGATAGGTAGAGCTCTCTCTCAGTTTCTCTTACTTGTTCCCTTTCCTTTAACACCACAGGCAAATTCCTCAAAATCCCGGTGGTGTGGCTTTCCCTCTCACACGCGATCTGGATTCATCAATCTACCACGCCAAGACAGGCTAGGAAGAAGATGACAAGGAGAAATCGAGGGGTTCGCGGGGGTGACGGAGAGGTGAAAGCACCAGCCCTTTGGAAGGAGGAAAGGGGGGGAAGCGTACACCCTCATATCTGTGAATGAAACAGGGTTATGAAAGGTGCGCAGTAATACCCTTAGGTGCTCCTCTCCCCCCCCCCCCCCCCATGCAACGGAGCCTCTTCACTTATCTGAGCAAATAAATGCGCCGGCGAGGTCAATTTAGGTTACTTCAACAGGTAATAGGTATAAAAACGCCAACCCGGATCAATTTTGGGGGAGAAGGTGGGGGGGAATAAACAGGACATATAGTTAGCAGGCCATTCGAGGAGGGCAACTTAGACCCCCCCCCCCAGAACTCAGCCCTCCCCAAGTCTAGCAATGGAATTGTCCCTACTTGTGTGGCTGTCCCTCACAGGGGGTGTTATGATTAGTGTGCGTGTGTGTGTAGAGGGGTAGCCATGCCCCCATTTAAAAAAACAACAACACATCCAACTGCACAGATATAGAAGAAAACAATAGAGGCAGCCTGCTGATTTTGTTCAGTTGGTTATGGATTTCTTTTGTATGTATATATTGTCTTTTAAATAAATATTGTAGGAATGTTGCTATATTTCTTTTCATCTTTGGACTGGTGGTTGAGTCCTGCTATCTGGAAATGAGGGAAATGAAGGAAAGAAGTACACTTTGTCAACAGGAAACGCCTTGTCCAAGTAGTGTGAAGGGGGGTGTGTGTCACAGAATATCCTGGGTTTTCTGGGGTGGGGGTAAAGTGTAGGCTCCTTCCCCGCAGCTGGTGTTGTCCACATATATTATGTATGTAGTATGCAAGCAGTATGTATCTACTGCAAAGACCTTTCACACCCTTCCTCCCTTCTCAACTTCAGAGTCTCCATGGGCTGAAATATTTCAGTTGGGAGACTTCATTTTTTATGACTGCATGAAAGTGCTCAGGCCGTTAAACAGAAGTAAAACACCAGCAGCCTTCCCTCTTTCTCAAGTTTGCAAATTAATATTTCCTGAGTGTATTTTGGGTATTGTTTTTAGGCTTCTGAAAAAATGACCAGAATCAGACTCACTTCTATAAATTAACTCTCAGAGCCCTTTCATAAAATCACCAGCAGCCTCCCCCCTCCTCTTCCTCCCTGCAAATCTCTCTTTCCTTCTCCTCCTCTTCCCCTCCCCAAAAATGGCAAGTAAATGAATTTCAGGAGGGGAGGGGCAAACCGGACTGAGGAAATCCCAATTGTTATGAAGTGTGCAAACCAGTAACACAAATCTATGGCTATATTTTATCTCACACACTCTGCCTTCCTTTTGTTAACAAGCAGCCTCAGTTCTTACTTTCCTTACACTTAATTTCAACAGCAGCAGCAAGATTTGTCGCTAGTTTGCAATATGTTTTTTTTAAAGGCACAAAGGTTTAGTCTAGGGAGGTGGGAAATTAAGCAAGGCTTATCAAGTAAAATGAATAGGTGCCTTTCATCTTCCTAAAATATCTAAGAAATTAGTCTGAGTGGAGCACCTTTTCCCTCCCATCCCCAAACCTGCCTATACCTGCTTAACTTTTCCTCTTACCTTTATTGCACCAAAAGAGCAGATCAAATACAATGCTGGTGGAAATTGTACATGCACAGCATGGATAACTTGCAAGATGTTAAATGAGAAAACACTGTGGCCAAGCTCAATCGTTCCTAAACAATACATGTAACAACTGAATCGCTTGGACCTGGCTTTATTGGCAAATAAGACTCATACTCCGAGTCAATGGGACCATTTCTCAGAGTAGGTGATCAATATGCTATCCAATTTTTAAATTCCAGTACCTAGTGCTTCTCTTTATTCAGTCAGGAAACACAAATGCAAGTTACATTCTTGAATACTATTGAGTAGGTGATGTGATGGCAGAATGTTGATAATGTGGATTACCCAGCTACTTGTATCTTTATTTTAAAAACCAAATTACCTTTGGAATAGAACTAATAGAATAGAAGAAGAAGAAAAAAAAAGGGGGGGGGGCTGCTTGTGATGCTCCAAGGCAGAATTGCATGAGAGGAAAATGCAGAGAACCTTCAAGCAGAAAAGCATGTTCATGCAATGCGATCAGACGCAATTCTCTTATCTGAAAGAAAACCATCATTTCACCCTTCCGGGTTCACACAAAATGCCAGTCATTGGTGCCTGGTGGATTTTTTGTTTTTTGTGTTTTTTTTAAATGTATGAGTGTGTCCGAACCCTGAGCATTTATGCCTTACAACCATTTGTGCTGCACATTATTGTTGTACTGGAGTTATGATTTTTTAAAAAATTACTTTTTGGATTGCAAAAAGCAGAGGCTCTGCTTCTGGAAATGTTAGCACTTTTTGCCACTGAACATAAAAATCAGTGTCTTGTCTTACCTTCGGCATATATAATTTTCTGGAAAGAAATCTATATATTTTACCAGCCCACAGGATGAGCTGTTGTTACCTTTACTTTATTTAGCCTCTGTTGACAAGACAGCTATGCAAATCTAATGTCAACATGATTTCACCAGGAAAGGTTCAGTCAAACAACCAGACAGAAGCATGCTTCTGCTCCAATCTGAGATCACACGTTATCTTGGAAGTCATAGCTGATAGTCGCAGGTTATACAGTAATTTGTTGAGTTCTAGTTTTTTATTTTTTTCCCTGCAATCTTCGAGAGAGGCCTAAAAGTAACCTTAGGCTTTGTACATAAATCGACTAATGGCTTCTAAGATTGAGCAACAGCGCCATCTTGCGCCAGCTTTCCCTGAGGCACCCGACTTCCAAACAAAACCATTCGGTCAAAAAATGAGGAAAGATTTCCTATCACCAATCGCCACCTTCTTTTTATCCCCCCTTCCTCCCCCGCCCACTCCCAGTACATGGGTCCAAGGAAGTCCGAAAAGAAACCCAAACAAAGGGTGGGGGGAACCCGATTTCCCGAAACACGGGGCGAATCAAAGCATCCTGATGCTGCCTCCACTCGGCGTGGAGATGTTTGCAGGCGCCTTGTGGGTGACCAGCACAAACTCGGCTTTGGTCGTGGTGCTTTTGGCTTTGTTCCCAAACTGCATTTTGGTTCTGAATAACGTACTCGTGGCAGCGCCTCCCTCTCCGGCCGCAGACACGGAAGAGCTCGTAACAACGACAACAATGCACACATGTGTGTGCACACGCGAAGGCTGCCACAGATCCGCCAGGAACATGCAGCAGGCTCTCTCACAGCTCCTGCCAACGCCCCCCACCCCCACGCACACAACTCGCATCCCCCCTCTTTTCTTCGCCTCCTTTGCCAAGGGGTGGGGAGAGGGCAGTGGGGAGAAGAGAATGGACTCTGCGCGTCTGTTGTTTGTTGCCGGCAGACAAAACATTCCGAGAGAGATGCTGGAATGTTCAAAGAGAAGAGCACCCACCTTATTGAAACCATAAAACAATTAAGGCCAGACGTCTAGCCGGTTCGGAGGTCCTGTTTTGTTCAATTCTATTCAGTCCACCCAGCAGTGAGACAAACAGAGTTGTAAAACTGGCATTTTTGGGCTGCGGAAATGTACCTACGGCTCGCCTTCAGAACTGCTGCATCCTGTCTTTTTTGTGTCGACTACAAAAGGGTCGTTTTTAAGCTAAAGATGACCGGTCTTTCTTTCTCTCTCTCCCCCCAACCTCCCCCCCCCACACACTCTAACATGTGCATAGGTATATATCCTATATGTAACAGAACTTATATGACCGGAGGGCACCACCGCTCTCTGTTGTCTTTGCTCACGAAGCAGCCACGGGAAAGGTATCCACAGGGGAGAGGGAGTGTCCGAAGGATTTTTCTCTTGGGCTCGTCGCTTTTTCAAAATAAAAATCATGCCCCAGCGGGGTGAGTTTTAGATTTGCAAGGATTTGCTCTTGGAAAAATAAAACAAAGCTTATATAAAGTTTATTTTTTCTCCTTTGCTTCGGTGCATGAGAACTGCCGAAGGCTGCAGTCCTGCGCTTACTTACTTGAAAGTAAGCCCCCTCGACTTCTGAGTCAGTGTGCCCAGAACCGAAATCTCTCTCTCTCTCTCTCTCTCTCTCTCTTTATGGGGCGGAAGACTTGCACATGAACTGTCACTGTATTCTTACATAAAACAAAGCAAGTCAGAAAGAAACAGACGGGTGGTGGGGGGGGGGGGGAGAGGGGGGGGGGGAGGGGGAGGACAACAGTCGTACGGAGACAAAGGAAGCATAACTTACATTCTTTTCGTCCCCGTTAGCTCCAACGGGAGCAGAGCCCCGCGAAAGACCGGGGTTGTGTGTGCGTGTGTGCGCGCGTGGGGGCGGAAAGGGGAGGAAGGGGAGAGGGAGCGCATCTTGAGTCCTCTTGAGCATGAGGTCTGGTGGAACCGGAGGGTTCGGCCAGCCTGATGGAGGACCAGAGTTAATAAAACCGCCTCTCGCTGGGCCGCGGGTCTATTACGGAGCTGGGCAGCAGAAAGGACACGAGGGACTCTGCTTTATACCGTGTCACTCCCAACACACTCGCACCCACGGAGGGAACCTCGTCTCATGTTTCGTGTTGGCACCGGGATGAACACTGACCACAAGGGAATAATAATTAAATAGCCACCTCTGGGTGGAAGGGGGTATATGACAAACGCGCAGCAGCAACAATGCAAAGCACCCGGACACACACGCCAGTGCCTGGGCTTCCTGGGTGCGGGAACGCAGGGAGAAACCCCCAAAGCTTCGCGCTCTCTGTCCGACGAGGGGGATCGCGAGGCTCCTCCGCCCATTTTCCGCCCCAGCCCCAGCCCCTGCCCCTGCCCCTCCGCCACCCCACCCCACCCCCACCATAGCGCCTTATGCCTTCTAAATAAATGCACGCGTACAATTGCAAACCATCTATTAATGGGAGGAAAAGGCAGAGCGTTACGAAAGAAACCTTTGATGACATCAGCGGGGATAATGGCTTCCAGATTGTATTTATTTATATATTTATTTGTGTATTTACTGAGAGGGTTGGATCCGGTGGGCAAAGCCCAAGCCATCATTACCTTGATCTGTTTATCATTAGAAAGATTAAAACGGTGCTCGGCTCATTTCATTAGAGAAAGAGACCCCAGAAACAAGTTCTTATGAGGAAACATCTCGTGGCTGCTCATTTTTTATCCCTTGACTTTCATTTAGCCAGTCCTTGGAAAGGACCTCGGAAACATCCATTTGTGCAGAAGGCTAAAATGGACTATAAAAAATGAGAATCCCTGGCCTTCTCCTTTCTCCACTCGCCTCGAGTCACTTCACTCGTTTCCAAGCAGTGCAAATATCTGATTTTTTAAAACACCGTTAGACTTGCCTTCTGCCTGCCAGAGGAAGTCAAGGAAACCTCTTTGTCCAGAAAGTGGTTTCCTTAGATAGGGGCTGAGGGAGAATATTCCAGACCTGTATACCACTTTCTTAGGCTTTACCAAAATAAAAAAAAAGGAAAAAGAAAAGAAAAAAAGCAAAGAAAACGCAACCAACCAAACAACCAAACCAACTTTGAGAAAACCCCAAAACAACAAACACCCCCTTTTTTTATCTAGCTGAGCATCACTTCTCACTTTCATCTTTCCATATTGGCATCAGCAGACCACTGTTTTTCATTTCTCATGATTGCTGTTTTCCTCATTTTTGGGGGAGGGGGTGGTGGTACATTACGTATGAGCAATTAGATGGCTGGGCCCCAAAGCCACACAAGTTTTAGGCAGTTCCTTGAACACTCGAAGAAATTCAGTAGAGTTTCCCCAGATTGGTAACAAAGGTAAGAACTCGCTGCGAGCAAAGGCTCCCTACCGCATATATTTAATTTTGCGCATATACTTTGATTGCCTGGAGTCATAAATTAGTACAATTAATTACCCTGGACTAAAATGTGTAGTACACTGTCGCCCGTGCAAAAACTTCTCTTTTTATGAGTCTGCCACTATATAAATACAGATTTAGATATATGGAGAGGGAGAAAGAGAGAAGGAGAGGGAGAGAAAGTGAGGGCGGAAGTTCTCTTCATTTCCCTGTCCTGTCCGACTTCCTGAAAGATGGTCATCTATTCTTCTAATGGCTTTTTGCAAGAGATCCAAGATTACTCTCAGTGCTAAATTCACGGACACATTTCCCGTGGTTGTACCTTTAAGGATCCAAGGCAAGGTCTCCCCTGCCTGTAATCCATCTGTAACTGGGGGCGGGGGGTGGGGGGCGGGCAGCGGCAAGCTGTTATTCCTCCAAAGGATTTTAAATAAAAACGACACCTCGATTATCAAAGTTTTTTTTCCTCTTCTTTTTCGTGACGTTAGGTATATATTTACAAAGAGCTGCTCTACCATAGCAAAACAACAGCGTTACAGAACGGTTCTGTGACAATCAGGGAAGACACATCGGAATAAGCACATCAGAAACGTCCAACACTATGACAGAAACATTGCTCAAGAGTTCACCCCGCTTTTTTTTCTTCCTCCCTCCTTCCTTCCCCCCCTCTTTTCTTTCCATTTGTACAAAATATGCAGCCACTACGTCATGAATTAAAAAAATAATAAAAAAACCCAAAACAAAGCACTGGATCAATTTAACTTACAAAATAAAATACTAACAACAAAATTCAAGTACTTGGTTGTTTTCTGAGAAGAAAAAGAAAGTTTATTTTTAGTTGCAATTTTGGGGGTTATTTTTTGTTTTTGTTTTTTTAAGAAAAGCACTCTTTAAATGTCTTTTGTTCCAGAATGGTTGGTGTGTTTAACTAATTCTAAACACTCATCAGCACACTGAAAAAAAAGTCAGAAACACTTCGAAGCCCAAGGAAGAACCACTGCCTGGGTTTCTCCATTCACTGGAGGGACTTGGCCAATTTCACTGCTGGTCTTTATTATCGGTTTTCTCCTTGTTCATTTTCTTCATTTTCATCCTCCTGTTCTGAAACCAGATTTTGACTTGGCGTTCCGTGAGATTAAGAACTCTGGCCACTTCATAACGGCGGTCCCGAGTTAGGTACATATTGAACAAAAACTCCTTTTCTAATTCCAGCGTTTGATATTTCGTGTAGGGACATCTTTTCTTTCTTGTAGAACGTGCGTGAATCCAGTTTGCCACGGGATTGTCTGGAAAAGAAAGGTGTTGGCACTTAAAAATATATATGTTGATAGACCCAGCTAGGTGCTTTTAGACAGATACGATTAACTTCACTGGCCGAATCCCCACACTCACATGCAGCCAATTAAGCTCTTGCCATTATTATTGGCATCCTTTTTTAAAGCCCTGTCTCTTTGGCAACAGGATCCGATCACAGCTGAAGTGACCTTCAGGATAGTTTAAGGGTGCCTGTATCCCGAAGGGGCAGTGCACAGCCGCACTGAGGGCAACGAGGCAGCCCTCCAGGAGTTTTACAAGTCCTGTTTTGGCACCCTGTTTCTGACTGTCATTTCATTCCTGACTAAGGGGACATTGTCTCCAGCATGCTGAATTTTAAAAGCAAAACCAGAGCGGTGGTGGTGGTGACGATGATGACGACGAGGACAACAATGATGATGATGATGATGATGATGATTCTCCTGGACATAAACACTAGTAGGAGTAATCCAAGAACATAGTCATAAAAAGTCAAAATTCCTACCACTTCACAGGCCCATAAACTCTGTTTACAACCATTACTCTCCAGTTCCCTCGCCATAACCTTCCTACTGATGGAACTGCTGGCATTTAAAAAAAATTCTTGAAAAAGCCCCAGAATAAGCCTACTGGCTCCAAGAAAAACATACCCCCCTCCACACACACGCAGCCCTAAACCACAGTCTTCTGTAATAAACTTATTCTATACTGGAACTTTGTTAAAGGGGGAAAAACCTCACAATTTACCCCAATCATTTATTTGGCAAGGTTTGAAGTGAATGAATATGTGCTTAACTCAAGGCTACATAAACTGTCATCTCTATTCCCTATTCCCTATTCTCTCTCTCTCTCTCATTCTCTCTCTCTATCTGTCCTTCTATCTATATCACAAAAAAAACATAAAAGTTATCAGAACCAAATCAGCATTTCATCAAATTGTTAGGCCTGAAGGCTTCGTAAACACCTGGCATAGGAATGAATGTGTGTGTGTGTGTGTGTGTGTGTGTGAGAGAGAGAGAGAGAGAGAGAGAGAGTTGTCTTTCTGTATATGGGCATAAAAATGCACACATATACACACAGACATATGCAAGCACACAGACACACACAGGCATTAATTCTGGACATGATGGTGATTAGAATTCCATATATTTTGCTTGCTGTGTCTCGCCTTCCAATTGCCTAGAAACAATCATCCCTTAGATTGCACATGTCCATTAGGAAGTGGATATTAGACTGTGCAGAATAAGGGCGACTTGTTCAGCTACAGAGGCACATTTTGTGTGGTCGCCCTATCTGCGGCTTCGACAGTGTTCAAGGGTATTTCTCCATTTTTCTCCCTTCACTGGCAAGTGGAGCTGAGGAACGCAGCTTGAAAAATGTGCCTGCTCCACTACCCTCCCCCAGTCTATTAAACTCTGGTGGCTACTATCACACTTTTCCTAGCTCGATTGTTCCGCTTTTGATACCGCACTCTCATTTTCTCTCCCGCCCTGCACGCAGCAGAACACCAAGCCTTTCGCCTGATGCACAGACTACTGGAATCGTCATGACCTGACTGTGGGGTTTCTCTTAGGGTTTCTCCCCACCACCACTTTTAAATACACACCAACATTTCAACATGATTTCCCTTCCCACATGCTCGAACAATGGCATTCGCCAGCGTTGATCCTGGAAAAGTCAGGAGCACGAAGGGCAAGGCAGGGAGGGCAAGGCTGGCTGTGAATATTGCCTCGGTTAAATGGATTCTCCAAGGTGAGAAAAAAAGAAAGAAATGAAGACGATCATGATGAGAAGGAAAACAATCCCCTGCCCTCTCCTCCGCCTCTCTTTCCCCACTCTGCCACACCGCTAGGCTCTTAGGATCTTCTAAGCCAGGTTTACGCCTGTACAGTTGGAGTTTCAAGGCAAGGACGCCAAGCATTCTAACTAGCAAAGGTAATTTCTTTTTATGGAGTGCTGTGCACGGCGGCTGTAATGCCTTCCCGGTTGTAAACAAGAATGACTTCGACTTACTAGGGTCCAATTCGGTCTTTTCTTCTTTGTGTTTGTTGGAAGCGATGGCCTCAGATTCCGGGGAGGGAATAGTCTGCGGGGTTCTGTCCCTGAGTTCTCCCGGGGATCCGTACATATAATCCGGATAACTACGTCCATCCACCGGTCCGCAGTCCCTGCGGCCGTGGAAGGCGTCGGGTTTAAGCCCGTAGTGCCGGCTGCTGGCTGGAAAACCTGGGAAGGAGACAGCGCCGGAGATAGGCTCCAGCCAAGTGCGCATATACCGGGTGTCAGCTCCAATGTGAGGCTGGTGGTGCGTGTACGGGTGGTAGACCACGGACGACTGGGAATGCACGGGCGCCCACGAAGTTGTAAAAACGGCCGGTTTGGGGGCAAAGCTGCAGGACGGAAAATCCGCGCACTCCGGCACTAATCCTGACGGTCTGGCCGCGGCGGGGTGCGAGCCAGTCGCTGGAAACCTGGACGCCAGCAGCTCTTCGCTCTCATGACTAATCAAGGAATCTACATAATAGTTGCTTATGGGACCCGAAGCCGACATTGTTCCCCCTCTTTTACATTCATAAGATTATTGTATGAACTGTATGTGTACTTTTTATCTTCTCATAGAACAATCAGGGCAGGTAATTATTTTTTCAGGCTTTCCTAGTTGGCCATTGGCTCCGAGCACTCACGTGATTGTATTTACCCAAAATACAGTGTAGATCAATCCGCAGGTCTTTTTTCCCCCCTCTTTCTATTTTTTTTTTTTAAATAGCGCCTATGCGACTTAGGTTTTCATAAAACTCTTGAAATAATGCCGTTATTAGCAGCGGTCGGAGCTTACGTGCCATGAGCGGGCAGGCGACGCTCCCTCGCGCGGGCGGGCGGGCGGCGGGCGGCGGCGGCGGCGGCGGCGGGCGGGCGCAGCGACCTGGCGTCCCCCTCGCCCCGCCGTTAATGAGCGAGCAAGGTATCTGGTGCGGCAAGGTAGCAGAGGAACTACTTCTTGACGCAATTTGTCTCTGTCTGGTCGCTTTGCCTCTCCGGCTTGTATTCTATAATGGATACATTACATGGGATATCTCGTGGGGGGGGGGGGGGGGGGGTCGCTGGAAGGTCCTGACAGAGTTGTACGGCTGGCTCACCTCCTCTTCAGCACCAGCCCATGAATGGCTATGATCATTATGCGCGCGCGCGCGCGCGTGTGTGTGTCTGAGAGAGAGAGAGAGAGAACATATATACTCCTTTTGCCTGATGGAAGGACCTTTTGCCATCTGCACTGAGATGCAGATATTCCTCAGTCTATTCAGCAGCAAGAAGTCTTGGGCTCATGGTGCATTCTCTGTTGACCACATATATCTTTAGACTCACGCGCGCACGCACACACGCACACACACTCTGAGTGGAAGAGGATGACCTTGTAAAACATGAGTGGAAAATAACAACAACAAGAACAACAAAAAAGGCTCTCATCTTTGTGAGAGGCTACGTTATTTGGCAAGTAGTCGTGGATGTTTTTATGTCCTTCAATAAAATTTTTACGAGGATCATTTGATTGTTCATAAATGTGTCGTTCATTAAATAAAACTGTACGACTAAGTTTCGGTTATAAGGCGTAGCTGGGAGTGAGGGACATTTTGCGTGTTTAAGACAGCAAGCCAGGGTATGTTTCTTTGGGAGACTTCATGCTGCTTTCCTGCCTTTATTAATATTTATTTCGCTGGATTTAAAACAAAAATAGAAGAGGACGACGAGGACGAAGAAGAAGAATGCCATGCAGCTGAAACTTTTTTGTTTACCAAATGGATTATGGCAGAACTTCACTTGAAGATATGTTGGTGTGTTTGTGTGTATGTCTGTTTCACAAAATAAGGACCTTTTTCTTGGTAGAGCAAGGCAGTTGGTATATTGCTTGTACCCTGAGAAATCTGGCTGGATGGCATTGGTTGCTTGTTCTGGGAAAGAAACCTGCAAAAGGATACTTTTCCCTCTTCAAAATGCAACTACTACAACTGCAACAAAAACATTTTTGTGTATCTGTGTGGCATTGTCAGAGGATTTAAGATTCCTAATGTAATAACAGAGGTGGTGTGGAGACGCGGAAAATTCGCAACAAAAGGGGGGAAGGCAGAAGAAAAGTGTAAGCAGGGAAGGTTATGGAGGTTTCACAGAGAGAGAGAGAATGAGAGAGAGAGAGAGAGAGAGAGAGAGAGAGGGCAAAGAAGGCGAGGGGGGAGACATGTGCCCCAGACGGATGCAATTTTCACCAGTGACATTACACTCACTGCAGAGCGCAGGACCCTCACACACTTAGGAGCAAGAGTGGATTTATTTTTAGGCACCTTGCTTGGGAAATCTGTGGGGGGGGGGAGGAGAAAGGGAAGGAGAGACAGCCAAATCTCTGCAAAAATCTCAGTCAGTTCCTGCTCGCTCTTTCTCTCTCTCTCATCCGCAGCTTTTCCCCTTTTCTCTAAAGATGCTGGAAAAGTTGCTTGATCGAACTGATTAAAGGTTCCTGACTGCATCTTAATTCAGAAGTCCTTGATCACTATGCGCCAGCCTGGTCTAGCTGGGTGCAGGGAAACAGCGTTTCACTCTACAAGGAGAACACTTTAAATAGAGTCAGACTTGGAGGTTGTGCTGGTGCTCCCCCCACCCCTGCATGTGTGCCTGCATCTCTGAGAAATCCAGATCTGCAAACAGATTTGCTGCGAGCCCTGAAGACCATCTTCTGGCCACTATCCTCCTACCGATGTCAGGCTAGCCCTCTCTGTAAAAGAAATATTTCTGCAGGAGCATCAGATGTCCCTTGGCCTGTCTTAACTTCAATTTATCTGTCAGTCAAAAGTCTCCAGTGACTTCATTTTTTTTTTGCTTAATGTGAGGAGGAAAGTTAATAGTGAGCTTGGCTATAATATATTTTTCAGGACTTCCTTTATGTAGAAATTGGATGGGGCAGAAGGGGAAGATACAGAAAGGTATATGAATATGTCTTGAAGATGGTTATGTTTGCTGCAATTGCAGTGAAGAAATAGAATGCTCTTTAGAAAAATAAAATTTCCAATGACGTGCTGCTTGTTTAGGCATACTGAAGTGGCAAGGAAATCTCTCACACACTTATATGGACACACACACATCTATACACACACAACACACAAATAGACACTATCTATTGAGAAGGCAGACAGGAAAGCATAGAAAAATATCATAGAAAGGATATTTACCAAGGCAGAATGTCTAGCATGTGAATACACAGTAAGAATAATGGATTATAAAAGAGAAGGGCGTGGAAAAGTCAACACTGCTGGTAACCTTAAAGCAAGCAAGCAAGGTCATTAAAATATTAATGGATGGAGCATTTTCATGTTTATGCAAAAGATGGTTTTTTTGTTTTTTTACTTGCAAGGAAGCCTCCCGCCCCTAAGAAAAATAAAACAGAACCAGTGTCCCCCGTTGGTGCAGGTTGTTCATAGCCAATGCTCCTATAGGACTTGTAGTGCAAAGACTTCCTCGTTCAAGGGGTCTTATGCCTGGGATTCGTACCAGGCTGAAACTCCAGAGACAGGGGCAGTTTGTCTACAGATAAAATAAAGACATGCCTTTAAGGATCAGATTTTTTGAAAACGGCATTCATAACCACAGGGCACCACATGAAACTCTAGAAATAACATGGTGTATGCATACTTCTATGTCCATATCTCTGCATACACGCTTAGGTTAACCTTTTAGGAAAAGAAATGAATGTCCAGAAATAGTCTTCTTTTGGAGCTGTATTTCCTGCTGAAGAAGTTGATAATATTGGCACCAGGCACTGGATAGATCCCAGCTTCACACCGAAGAGACTACATATCTGCATGTTCTGTACAGCAGTTCAGAAACAGCCTTGAATCTTCTTATCAAATCTGATCCCTTTGGTAGAAGATAATCAGTCCTGAAATAAAGTGGCCCATCCCCTGCGTCTTCTGTCCCTTTTCTAGTGGAAGAATCTAAATATAATAATTAGGCTTGTTTTTAAAACTCTGTATTTATGTATGTCATACGTGCATGCATGCATGTATGTGTCTCCCAGATCGTCATCTGTGACGCGAATGAAAAAAAGGGGGTGACCCCGACTGGTGGTTTTATTGATCCCCAGGTTAGGTCTGACACTAAAAATCATTATCTTTTAAAGCTACTCCTGCCGCCTTTGTATCTGGATGGGAAGCTTGCCTCAGGAACAAACTTGGAGAGCACCCGCCTCACCCCCTGCCAGCCCACCCCCGGCCCCAGGCCCGGCCCCGGCCCCGGCCCCACACACACCTTCTCTCCTTGCCCCCATCACAGAGCTGCATCCCCGGGGCCCTGGCTGCCGGGACTCCGAAGGCCCTGGCGGGAGGGCCCTCCTCCCCTTCCAGAGGGGGCTGCGCGCCTCCCGCCCCGCAGCCTCTCCTCCGGCTCCGGCTCCGGCTCCGGCCGCGGCGCGGGGCCGCCGCCGCCGCCGCCGCCGCCCGAGCCCCTGGGAGCCCGCGAGTGGCCGGAGGGGCTCCGCGCGAGCGCGCAGCCCTCCGCGGACCGGC